CAGCGCCGGCGCCACCCGGTCTTGGCCCTGCGGCGGGGCCAGCCGGGTCCTTCCCGGCTCCTGGCGGCGGCGGCGAAGGCAGCGCCCGCGGTCGCTTTGCGCCGTCAGGGCCCTGGGAGGAGCTGGGCGTGGGCGGCTGCCGACGCGGCCTGGGGTCGGGGAAGGCTGAACAGCCCGTGGCTCGGCCGAGAAACGCGGCTCGGGGCTGGGGAGCCGCTCCTGCGCTGAGGAGGAAGTTGTTCGGCTGCCCAGAGCTTCACCCGCATCCTTGGTTCACCCCTGCATTGCCTGGGAATCCAGGCCTGGCCTCTTCGTGAGGCGGCTCTGCCTTCTAGGAAGGGCTTCGGCCTCCTGTGACGTCCACCTGGCTCGACTTGTGCCTAGAGTTGCCAACTTAATAGAAGAGTCAGCATAGAAACATAGAAAGGGGGTGTTTGGGGGCCTGTTTAATTATGCCAAAGCTTCTTTCTTCTTATTAAAGCAACTTGGCTTTCCTGAATTTGTTCCTCTTCAATAATTTAAATCCCCCTTGAAAATCTGGTTACATTTAGCAAAAATACTGTCTGGCGGTGACTGAGTCACACAGATGTTGCACCTAGTTCTTAGAAATTCCCCTGTAACTGGCTTGTGAGCTGGGAAGTAGATTCTGTTACCTGGCAAACCTGCCCTTGTATGCTAGGGTATGCTGATCCTGAAAGCAGCTTCCTTCTCTTTAGGTTAGATTGTGGCTAGTAAAACAGTTGATCCTCTGGTGACTGAGCTTTGTCTTTCATAGTATTCGCATCAAGGTGCTAGAAGTAAGTTTACCAGTGAGTTATCTGAACTGCCAAATGAGGTTACTTGTTTGAATCCTAGCACTGATATTTTGTACATATAGACACACTTAATGTGTGGAGCCCTTCTTCAGAATAGACTACTGGACATCTAGTGCAATGCCTAGATAGCAACTTGATCAAGCCCTAAGGAGAAGGCAAAAAGTAGGGTGCCTCACCCTAACTGGTTCAGAGAGGCATGAGCTTTGGTAGGCAACTACCTACTTAAATCAGATGCTCCGAATTAACTGACAGAAGAGAAATTATTTAATGGGAAGGAAGAAGCTACAACAGCAGAGGTGGTTACAAGAGGGGGACAACTTCCCCCCCCCAAAAAAAAA